TCCGTTTAGTTGTACCAATCCGATTGTTGTAGTAGAAAGTTTCGTATTCAACCCCCTCCGGCACACATACTCGTGTGTATATCCTGTGCATGCTACCCCACATTCCTCTGCTCCAGATCGCATTTCCTCCACTGCACAACCCCAGATGTAATGCACACATTACTGTCGCTATGTGTTTTTCCTCATTTTTGATCTGTTCTCAGAACGAGTTCCGTTCTATATGTATCTGTAGAACGGGACAAATAACCGATTATTGAAGTATGTAGTAATTAATACCAGTAGTAGTAGTAGTAGTAGTAAAAAGGCCGTAGTTTCACTCTCCACCACCCATAGCCTCCTCACTCAGTCATCTTGACCGTAATACTCGTTTTCTGTATTCGTCTCTCGTTTCCCGGATTGATCGACTTGGTCCCTCTCCCCGTCCCCCGTCTTGCGCCTTCACACGTACTCTCAGTCCAATGTGACCAAAGCGCAAGCGGAACAGGAACGAATCTTTCTAATCAATATCAAAGAACTGATAGCCCGTGTTCGTCACAATCCGATCAGTGAGCAAGATTTTTTCACCGAATTCGAAGTAAGCATTCGTCGTTGTTTTTGTTGTTGTCTTCGTCGTCGTCACTGCTTCTGCTTTTGTTGTTCTTGTTGTGTGACTATGTTACAGATCAAAGGAAATTATCATCGGAAATAGTAGGTATAATTGGTCGATAATGGGTTCCCTCTTTGTGTATCTCACTTGCGTGATATTTGATCCAAGAGATTCGTATGCCACCCACCTGGTTTTGATCAGCTTTTAACTAGTCAGTTTCGTCCTGGCGTAACGCATGCGTCCAAAGTACGTGGCACTTCGATATTCCATCCGTTCTGGTTTGAGGTATTTTTTTGATGGTATATTTATTTCGCATTCAACAATTCCGTTCATGACTTTTCAAAGATATCCTTGCTCGAGCTTTTACTGTTTAATTTTTCCAGTTGAAAATGCGGATCTTAAGCGTGTGATTTTTCTTGGATGAAATTTTGTGAGTCGTAGAACAAATCACGTCAGGAAACAGAGTGACGTTTTTTCTGAGTGAAAGGTACGGCACTTTCTAGCTCTATTTCAGTTCAGGTTTTTCACCGAAATCCTGATTTTTTGTTCTNACTTGATAAAAAATGATACAATTGGATTCTACGAATGCAGTATTAATATTAACAATACACTAACCGGTTGCTATATATATATATATTTGATAATAAGTAGTGTGTGAATGACTGAACAAAATTTCCCTGGAAACAACCGATTTCGCAGTTCTTGCCACCCGTCAGACTTGCGTATCCGGTAATCTGTTGGCAGTTCATTCATATAGTCGTACCAGGGAAGTGTATTTTCGTCACAATAAACTTGTTTGCAACACCGGGTGATAGACAGCTCTTTCAGAGCCAGTCTGATGAAGAATCAATGCTATGATTAGATGTTTTGTAAGTGGATTAGATGCTACTAATCGCAACAGACGTGACCTGATGGTCTTGGTAGAATATTTGATAAAAAGCTGTATGTGAATGACTGGACGGGGAAATTATGTCCATTCATTCACATACTACTTATTATCATAAATATATATATATCATGTAATCAAAATTAAGTTTCCTCCGAATTTGACGATGCGGTAGAGTAAAGCGCCTGCTACCTGATAAATTCAATCACTTCTGTGACATTAGTTTAACGCTGAATGGATCATGTAGGCATCGATGCGCGATAACACATGGAGTGGGTGAGATATCACAAGAGCCATGCGGAATGACCGGTTTAAACCAAACCATAGATAGATACACAGCAATCGATTAGTGACGGTAAATTTACCCGCTGGGTTTGAATCGCACGATCAAATTCATTGGTCTCGCATGAGGTATTCATTGGTATCTTGCTTGCTTGTTCCACTTTTACGTGGTAGCCCTTAGTGAAACAAACTCACACTGCCAAGTAGAGACGCGTTTTGAACTCACTTTTTTGTACGGATTAGAGAGTTGACTGAATAATTGATCGAACTATGGATCGGGAAAGTACAAAATAATGATCAGTCGATAGTAAAACAATTATGCATTTATTGCTCATTAGTTTCTCTGTTGAATGACGAATCAGTCAATTCTCCGACAAGCAGTTTAATCCACGGTCGCGAATATTATCTACCGTATATATTTGGAAAACAACAACAACAACAAGCACTTATCGGATATGAGACATGTCTTATTTTTGGTTCACCTGTTACGCTCTGTACGAGATGTTAAAAGTGCGCGACCAGGTTACTGCTCAAACAACTCGGAGGGCGGCGGCAGGCCTCGTGATTGACTTGGCCAATACCGTACATATTAGACACGCTTGATTGACAAGCTTAATTCTCTACACGAACGGTTTCACGGTGAGACTTCACAGTGAGTTGTCGCGTTTCATTTTTGGCCAGTTTAAAACTGGGCCGTGGTTGTTTGATTGTTCTCAACAAACGCACACACGTATGTATGTATAGAAATGCATTGGGATGAAATTCTAGACTATAGTGCAATCGATCCGGGACAGAATTCCCTGATGATTGCCATTAGGCTGAACTGAACTGATACACTAAATTCTACTACCCCAGTCCTCTTTTATCGTTGTCTTTCCGGAACGATATAACGGAATTTTTCATGATGGATTCCAATTAGGTGGTCTGTTTTAGTCATTGTCACTTAGACGTCACCTTTTGGGTACAGTAGGTTGCAAAGAACCTAACAGGGGACTGGTAGGAATGACGTAAATGATGTAACATTTAATGACTAAGCTGAACTGTGATCGAGTGGCTTGACCGACTGAATGTAGAAAAGATCGCCGTCGCAAAGGATGGAGAAGGCGATTAATTCGCTGGCACAAAAGAACTCGAAAGAAATGGACAACAGTGACTAAGTAAAACAGAAAGCCCGTAGCAGACAAACGGGGTTTTATCGGCAGAGAAAAGGTATTTCTAGACTCCTGAGACCGAGAGCGGTGGTTTGAATCGTCCTTCGGATCAAAGAAGCGCGACGAAGCGAAGTCAAAAGATGGTCGAAACTGTGCTACAATTCTTAGCTATTGAATTCAGCATGACAGTGTTCTGTTCCTCCAATGAACACAGGCCTCGACCGCTTGATTTCTCGACACAGTGAATCTGATACACAGAATAGAAGTAGATCAGAATACCCCTGAACACATAAGCATGTTCAATATTTGGACTTGAGACACTAATCTTAGTTTCTATGCGGTGATGTTGTGTGATTTTCTCTGTTCCCGCAATCTCCAACTTCATTTGATAGGTTCAAGTGCTTGAATAATGTGTCATTTTGCATCAAAAATAAACATTGGGAACTTTGAGTTAACGTTATCCAAAGGTTCCTCTTTTGGTGATAGTAAATCGTTTCTGTCTGCTTTAACCAGTGAACGAGTAGAGCTCATTATACCTGTGTATTTCCTTTTCCTCGACCATTTTTTTCCTTTGATCAATAATGATCATCCCGGTGTGTGGAATTGTAGATCCTCACTCAGGCTCAAATGGAACACGAGAGTCTCACGGCCTACATGATGGAATTGTCCGAACGAAAGCGTCAAGGTCTTCTTCTCGGTTTACGCCCGGAAGAACTGGATCGTATCGAGGCCGAATGGAGCAGAGTCAAACCGGAACTGGACGAATGGCGTTGGCGATTGGACGAAGCTTTGCCTGGGGACTGGAAACAGATTGGTTTGTGGCTAGCTCAGGCCGAACGACGTTTGATCGCAGACGCCGAATTGGCCAATCAATTGGGTTTGGAAATGGCTCCGGGCGCTGCGAATATGACACCAACTGAGCGATACGAACGATTGAAAAAGTGTTTGGAACAACATGAGGTAAGTGTTTGGACACTGATTATCGCCAATTAGCAACTCTGAGACACGTCCGCTAGTGTACCGCTTCACTCACCGTAGTCTTGAAGTATGCTTTTGAGTACCATTGAGTTTCATTCGTATAATCCGGTAGTTTTTACCTTCGAAATTTTTGGTGTGCTTTATGGCCAGAATGTTTAAAATTTGGGAGAGAGAAAGAATGAAGTACCCTCCGGCTGAATTGCAATAATCGATTTTTTTAATGGCTCTCTCTGTTTTCAATCGCAGCTTTTTCGAGTGCAAGAAAACTATAAATTTCTAGACCTACGAAGTTGCTGTTTTAAGTGGTATCATTAATGTTGACACTCGATAGAATAGCTTGTTTTTACCACAGCGCGTCTGTTTCAATGGATTTCAGCGCCGATCGAATTCACACATACAGACATACAATAATCAAATGTTTTTTATATTAAAGTTATTTCCCCTTTGTACTCCTTGTTTTATAATTTCCGTTTCTATTACCCATGTCATTGTGTTTCACAGGAAGCACTGAAAGAATACGAGCGAATAAAAAAACAGTTTGATGCTCTGAAAGTAAAAAACGAAGAACTGAACCGGCAGGCGGATGAGGCTCGAGATAAACCGGATGTGCTGGCCAAACTGGATGTGCATTTACCCGAATCGATAGTGCTCGCAATAGAGAATCGCCTCCTGAACGTAGAACTGGATGCTCCGTTGGCAAAACGCAGAATAGAAAGACTCACTTTGCGATGGAATTTGGCTCACCAGCTAGATGAATTACGTGTGAATCTGACCGACTGGCAATCGACACGATGTAAAGAACCGGAGGAAGTGAAGACTAAAATGAAAACCATTCAAGTGGGTTGCTCAAATCGTGCATTGCTTGAGTTATTTTCTGACCCTTTATAAGTCTCTCCTTCACAGAACTCTATCTTCAATGATTTATGTGTGGTAAATAAAGAAGCGAATGTTCTTCTGTACGGCTTGTTCTCTGAATATGCTTTGTTTTTATCTACCACTACTATTCAGGACTATCTGACAAGCTTGGGCCTACCGGATCGTATTGAAAAATCCCTGAATGAACTCACAGAGTTGTCCGCGCAACGGGATGATATCGCGACCGGTGTGGCGGAACGTCGGAAAGAAATGGAACAGAAGTTCGCCAAGTCCGGCGATCAGCAAAAAATATTCCTCTCTCTGTCCCAAGGTGTGTCAGTCACTACTGGTGGAGGGGCGTTCATGCTGATGGATAGTGCAGAGACAGAACGAAACGAGGCTAACATGTTTATATCATCGATCAGATCACGTTGGATTGATGCTTGGGATGATGTGACTGATTTACAGCATCATCTGGAAGAATTGCAGATGAAGTGGGAGACATTCGAAGCGGTAGGTTTTGTTAATAACTGTTGAGAATCATACTATTCACAAGTAGTTAAATATTCAACATAAAAATACCGAGCATCACATACCCGTTTGACTGTGTATGACCAAACATTTTTCGAACTGTTATTTCATCTTACAGGAAAAAGCTGCTCTAAAGGAATGGGTGGCTAATGCTAAGAAGATTTTGGATGACGAAAATTCCACCGCTGAAGAACGGAACAAGCTGTACTCGGAATTGGCACAATGGCGTGCCCGAATATCTGCGCTGAATGATTTGGGGCACGAACTGATGGGTCAGTGTGACATTCAAACAGCCTCTGCGCTAGATCAGGAACTCAGTGGAGTGAACCAGGTGTGGACGGACGTAAGCAGTCAGGTCAGTTCCGTTCCTGGACAGTGTTTGATAAAAGAGTGGGAGAGATGTTTCCCAGCCGATTTCCTTTAGTTTTGTTTTCACAGCCCCGCTTGCTCCTCGTATACAGTAGCAGTTTAATCGATCGTCGCCGCAATCGGTAACTCCCCTGTGCGATCAATGTGTTGTATGTTGTCTGGTTACCAAAACCGTAGGAAAGAAATAACTTTCCCCGATCTAATCCCTGTCTGCCAATTTCCGCTCCGATTGGGGTGAGGGCAAACAGGCAAGCGCAATCGCTTTATCTTTGAACTGGATTAATGAATCATAACACAATCTCACTCACTTGTGTGAGTGAGAGTGGAAAAGTAAATCTCATCGGAGCTGCATGATTCGCCACCGGAAGAAAGTAATCTCATATCCACTTTAGGGTTTGTTTCCAACCGGGAGAAATGCGATGAAAAAGCGCTTATGAGTTGCGTAAGGAAACATGGTTGTTTTGAGTCGAAACAACACACCATTGTTTGTTTGTTTGAATACTAGTCAGTGGTAGGCAGTTGAATGATAATGTACCCTTTTCTGCTTATCACGATATCTACTCCCAACAAAATGAACTGTAATATTTTGAAAGTGATTCATTATTCAATGTCAACCGGTCTGTCACACGTGCCTTATCGACAAACTGTGGTCTGAAAACGTCAGCAGTGGTGGAGACTCGAACTCAAACGGGAAATATCGCGCGTCCCCCGATAGCTGCAATCCTAGATTGACTTCAGCGGTTCGTTTGAAGTCAACATCATATGCTGCAGTATCGATCTGTTGCTCCAGTTTTACGTGGACCATCGTCAATTGGACAGAGTGAGCGATTAGGGATTCACGTCTGCTCAGTAGAAGTTCCTTCTGACTGAGCAAGCAAGTTTGGAAGGGGGCTGAGCGTGTTAATTTTGATTTAGTAGGCCGTTAATTGTTTAGAGGGTGATTTAATGGGCCATATCAGCGTGCCAGAGGTAACACTAAAAGCCATCACAGGCACAAACGCACACTTGGTGAATATACAACCCTTGATAATAAGTTTAAAGTTGCTCTTGAAGCTCCTCGATGATAGATGTTATATGTTCAGATCACATGAATCATGTTCCAAACGTTCAATTCGTTTAATCTGAAATCAACGAAATGGAATGCGGATTGTTGCTCAAGCTAGAGTTTTGTAATTAGAATTATGCTGTGCACTCGTTACACGTCAGCACTGTCGTTCGAAATGATTTCGAATGATCTAAATATTGATATCAGATAGACAGACAAATCAGTTTATTAAAGCTTCGATAATTGCAAAACGTTTTGGGTTGGGGATACGTAATAGTGGCTCCAGAGAGGAAGCAGCACCGATTGTGTGTTTGATCGGTTTTACGGTTGGTGACCCGGGGATTTCTTGCCACCGACAGTTTGGTTATCCGATGTAATTTGTGCGATGGGCCTCGCCAACCACTTCGGAATGTGCGTGTGTGTGTGTCACCGTGACTCCGGATTCATTCATTCGTATCTATGACTCACACTCGATCAACCATCACGAACATGACGTTCCCGGGTNGGGGGGGGGGGGGGGGTCGGGGGAGAACTGCGCACCTTACACCACCGAAACATTCATCCTCGCTCGGTAACTCATTCAAAAAGTACTTTTGTTTGTTTACCGAGAAGGTAGTTCATTCGGAAAGACCCGGTCCAATCGGTGACATTTGACGGCCAAAACACCAATCATCTTGGGGTTTCCAATGGAGTGCGATTGGTTGGATTCACTTGAAGTTACAACGGATTCACTTGAAGTTGAAAAGGTATAGAGGCATGGAGTCAAAGTTGACACAGTTCATTCGTATTTGCACATGACCTCACGGTTTCAAGGTCACATCGTACGCATAAGTTTAAAACGAATTGACAGTCATGGAGGTGTAGACAACCGGGAGACAACGATGACAACGGCGACAATTATGACAATCTTTAAATGGTTGGTGTAGCCGATCAGTGTCAGGATGAAAAGATTTACTATAAAGACGAACTAAGAGATAAACAGATGAAAACAAAGCCCTTGAGTATGCATAGATAGCTAGAGCGTTATGATTTCAGTCTTGACAAGATTGAGGTGTTAGGCAAGGATTAGCGTCAATCGGGAGGTGCGGATTGTGACACCTTTCGGTATTAATGATGCATAGGTTCAAGGAAATGCGGGAAACGAGGATGAAGACGGATAAGCGTGATATTTCACGGCCAACATCATTTCTGGTCCTGTCCACGTTCCATCCGAGTCATAGGTTCTGTTTTTTTATTCATCAGCACTGATCTAAACTTTTCACGCAATCTGTGAAACCGCTTCGATTTGTTGCAGGTGGTACGTTCCGCCGAGCTGAATCACGCCGAACAGTTGAAAAATCAACACGCGGACGCATTACATCGTCTGAATGAGTTTTTCCGGACAACCGAGCGATTACTCAACCAGGATTTTGTTCTGCCTGAGACCACCAATTTGGATGAAGCTAACGCCGCAACTGCAGCCTATCGAAAACAGTTGGAAGATGCCCGTGCCGCTCTGATTGAACAAGCACGAGCAGACTACTTGGTACGTGTCAGTCTACTCAGTGATTCCGACCTGTTAATTTTTGTGATGTGCGCGCGCATTCGACATCTCACCCGGCCCGATTTGGGACGGAATAAAGTGTGCTCTACAGTTGGTATAGTGATGACTGGTCATTTTAACTACCTCAGTCAATTCACAAGAACCCGTTCATAAATTCAGATATACTTACCTACCTATCTATATACAAAGTGTTGATTGCTCTTATTGTGAAACTATTTCTGTTGTGATGCGCGCTAGCTCTACTGTTTGATTACACTTAACAATTCTGTATTGGTGCTCATTACCCAACATGAATCAGGGAATCGTTTCGGGACAGGGAACAACATGGTTGAATAAGAAATTCGGAAAATTCGATTCCTTTTTCTCATCTCCTCCTGATTAGTTCACTTTCTTTTCACGGACGGACAATTGCAGATCTGCATTTCCGGGATACGCTCGACCAATGGTCTGTCTGTGAGGATACCAAGAATCAAGAGATTATGTATATATTTGACATAATTCGCTTGCAACGGGTTCGAATCAAACAATTTCCTTGTTGCTTCTAACGTTTGTCTGAGCTCCTGTTTCGTGCTTGCAGTCGAATGGGATGAAAATAAAATAGTAGTGCCCGTATATTTTGCAAAGATCAAGTTCTGACTGAATCTAGTCAACTAACGTTCTAATATTGTTTGATAAAGTAGTTATTTTATTACACACTTGTATGTGATGAACAGCACTCGGGGCGAACCCCATAGTCACACGAACCTACTGTTTGGTGATAGTAAGCGGCAACCTGAGTCCCGGGGCTTGGATTGGTGAACCACATAAGGCTCCGCTAGCTCAGGCGTGGTATAGAGCCGGGCGACATCAAAGCTGCCTACCACGAAAGTCGGGTGGTGGTGGTGGGGCTCGAACCTCGGACAGTAGGGTCAAAAGCACGCCGGTGACAGTGACTGCGCCACCACCGCCCCCTTGTTCAGAAACTGCTATATCGAAGATAAGTCGAGCACTGACCAATCGATAAATCTTCAGTGCCCCAGTAGCCTTGTCACAATGCAGTATTGCTTTTTTCTGTGATACAATCAACATAGTGCTCAGCACTCGGAAATCGGAAGCTTCTGCCGGCGACCTCAATTCTCGGGTGTAAGCCTGATTCAATGCTGCACTTTGAGCCAAGAGGTAGCGGATCTCCCAGTCACCAAATGATACTTGTGATGTTAAGGTCTGAGTCTGGATCGTTTATTCCATCTTCTAAATAGCTCTACTGAGGCTGTTCAGACGCTGTTCGATTATTGATTATCACGTTCCGGGAACTGATCTGGTTATTTTACTTCATTGTAGGAAGCACTACGTGCTGCCGAACAACTTATGGAAGCCGCACGTGCCGGTCAGGCGGATATGGCTGATGCTGAGGCGTTAATGGCCGCAGCTCGTGCCGCCGGGGAGCGATTGGACAGATTGGTCAATATGGAAGTTCCAAATCGACTGGATGAGGTCCAGGCGGCTACACAGAAAGCGATCGATTTGGCTCTGCGGTTGGCTCCAATTAACAGTTTCATACAGAACACAGAACAATCGGATGAGTTTGGAAAATTCAGTGCTGGCGAGTTGAATTTGGATCTCAGTGGGTTATCCACCGAGGACGCTATTTCCAAACTGAAGGTGAATTGAAATAAAAGTGGTAATATGACATGGTTAATTCCCATTACGAAACAAAGGCTAATATATGACATGGATTTGGTGTTTTTATTTTGACTAGTTCTCATGAGGTTTATTTTCAACGAACCAACGAATAAATCAATAACCGAACTGGTCATCTCATTTAAATATGGTTATAAATCTTTGTGATGACGCAGAAAGAGCACTGGACAACTGACCGGTCCTGTTTGGAACCGGTCAGCGTTGTGTACTTATCGTGTCCCTTCCGGGTCTCGAACGGTACATCTTCAGGTTAAAAGTTTAACTACGTGGCCAACAACATTGTGCGAATCTAAACATCGATCGATCAATCAATCAATCAATCAATCAATCAATCAATCAATCAATCAATCAATCAATCAATCAATCAACCAACCAACCAACAAATTAATTATTAATTAAATAATTAATCGAACCAATCAATCAACAGTGACTTTAATAACTCACCTCAATATTCATATCATTTATATTTGATTTCATACCATCGAACTGAACAAAATTTCAACGTTCATCAGTTATCGAGAGTCGATTCTCGTAGTTCAAGTCAATTATATTCATTTTTTCCCGTTCACCAAACAGGATAACTTGTTTCCGAACGTTACCTCTCCGGCCCAAATGGTATCTTCAATGCTCGTGGCATGGCCTTACAAAAAGTACCAAAGATATCTGTTCGGGCGGAGAAAAAAATAAATTTGAACGTTCCATGTAAAAATGAGTTTATCTTAATTTGATTATCAAATTTTGATTCCTATGTAGCGGCTTACGTAAGACCAGTTTCTGCGAATCAGTAGTCTATCAAATATTGTAAGCATGCGAAATTTCGAAAAAATCATCAGATAATCGGTTGGGGGATTAAAAACATACCAGCAAAATGTTTAAAATTCTTCAGACGAACAGTAATGGAACAGGCGCGCAATGACTTTGAACGCAAGAATTACGTGAACACATGCGTTCGTATGAAACATGGGCAATTTGAAGTTTACACAGTCTCTTTTTACTAGCCTCACAAATGCACTTCGCAGTCGGTCCGCTGGGACTTCCGAGAACTCCGAGGTAGGGTTTTGATGATCGACGGTAGATCGATCGATCAACTAAAAAAAGGAATCTTTTGCGCCTGTCTGAGATAAACGGCCTAGCTATTCTCGTGAAATTACCAGTTAGGCTAGTGACTCGAGTGCATGGCAGTCAGTTCACCTTGTTTAACGCTCCAATTAAGTGGTTGTCGCTAAACATACATATAGGGATACAGTGAGTTAATCCATTTCTACCCGATTTAACTGACCGGTTATCACTCCTGTACAACTGTTCATCTAGAGTCATTTCACCGCCATCGAACAACATGAGAAGGCTTTGACTGAAGCCGAACAACGACTGAAAGACCTGAAAGCAGCCGGATTGAAACATGTTGACGTGAGTCAGTTGGAATTGGCTACAGCTGAGGCTCGCAGAAAATTCGAGGTAATTTCGCACGCTTGATTTTTGATTCTATCACTTTTGAACCGGTATTATTTGAATCAATAGTGATTTTCGGTCATTATGTGAACTTTACAATTTCTTTCTTTCTTTATTGATAAATATCGAATTTCCTACTACCAGTTCCTGTAAATATAAGCTAATTTGTCCCGGCAATCTGCGGACCAGTTGCTGCTGGGAAGCTTTGACATCTGTGACCATTTGAAACAGTCGATTCTGATTCAACTCATTAAGGTATGATGATTGGTCGCGCAATATCATCCTGTTTGCCTACCGTTTACTACTACTATCGTTTATATTTGACCCAGTTGTGATTTCAAGCACATCCGGCAGACGTCCTCTCCTGGCTCACTTTCGAAAAGAGGTAAAGACAATCGTCTCAACTAGCTCATTCTGCACGCTTTCTTTTGATTGGGACGTGTCAAAAACTGGACACGATAAACTATGAATTCAATATGTCGGGGTTAGGGGAGTGCGGAGCGTTACGGATCGACTGGTTGTGTGTTCTACAAAGATTTGGCATAACATATGTGTATATGAACTATATGAAGTTGGCAATGTTTGTGATAACCGACAAGGAGCGCTGGACAGCTGTTCCGTCCTGTCTAGGGCTCTTCAGCAGTGCGTATGATTTGTGTCCCTGTCAGGACTCAAACCGCGAACTTCGGGTTAGGACTTCAAACCCTTACCCCTGAGCTACGGTTATCGCCTTGTACGAATGGACGAATGGCTCAATCAATTTAGATGGTGAATGTTTGGATTGACCACCAACAGTGCCTGGTGCCTGTGACAAACCGAATGGGCTAATCCAAACAATCGCCACCTAAATATATGTGGTTAGTGTCACATCCAGATTGATAGTTGGCTGGTGGTAGTGTATAACTTTGAGGAAATTAAATGTTACATGAGAATTATATGTAAATAAATATATATATATACATTGTGCAATTAGTCACATATGTTGTCTGTGCACACTCACAGGTGCTCCGCGCTGCTGCTCAACGCTATGAGGAAGCGTTGGAGAGACGACGCATCGCCGAGCGAACATTTAATGCGTCCATCAACGAATTGAACGACTGGTTAAATGAGGCCGATCGGGTGATGCAAATGCAAACGGAGGCGATTGAAAAACACCAACAACAGGCGGTTAGCAGTGAATGGCTCAAAGACCAGTTGGATGAGCACAAGAAATTTTTCGAGAAATTACAAGAAGTCGGTCAAGCCTCATTGCAGACTGTGAATCGGTCGTACGATGAACTGGTCAGTCTGTATGAAAATGATACTCTGGATTTCGGTGTCTCAGCCGAGACGGCCGAGTCAAATATTGTCCCACCGAACGATGCGGCCAACAATGTGGTGGTGGAGGCATCGGCTAAAGTACAAACATTACGGGATCGATACTCGGTAAGATTTGCTTGATAACTCTTAATCATATTCGGTACACAAATAAAATGAAGGGTACTCATCCAGTTGTGAATAATTGATCAGTCGCCTTCATTTTTTGTTTGTTGTACATAGTATCTTCTATGAAAATAGGAACAGTGAACTGTTGCCGTGTTAGAACATTCCTATTAGGATTTAACTGAAAGATGGCTTTTGATGTGATGGCCGACGTAGAGCACCGGTCAGCTGTTTCGTTCTTGTTGGGACTCAACAGCGCGCATCATTTATTTATCCTTGGGATTCGAAAAGCAAACTTTCGTGCTGGGAGCCAAAACACTGATCACTGAACTACACGTTAGACGATCAATACTCAGAGCTCTGTTTTCACCATTGGCAGAGTTATTATTTACTCGATTTGTTTGAATTGTGCAACGTTCATTATTCTCGATGGGATTCAAACCCACGCTTCAGCATCGCGTACTCTTTTATGCATCACATGCTCCACTAATTGAAGAACTAGATCACACTGTCACTACTGATATTTTCCTATTTAGATCACTCACTCAACTAAATGAAACGTAAGTAATCCATCAGATAGCGCTTAACCTGGTCACCACGACAGATTTTCCTTAGAATCCAAGAGATGATTATTGAATCAAAATGTTGTTCACTGAAATTACTCAAAAAGAATGACAAAGAAATAAGTGGTCATATCAGAAACGATCTCTTGAAATCCAACGATCAAAAGATGATGGATTCACTGGTCAACTGATTGCCGATTTGTGTCAAAAGCACACGTGCAAAGCAGAAAAATCAACGCACAGTGCACCGATAGAAAATGGTTGGGGATGAACTCTCAACATAGTTAACTGACAAACCGATAGACTCTGTTCATCTTTGATCTTCCCACATGTTTGCTCATGGTTGTATTTATAAGAGAATAAAATCGTCGAATCTTTTTTTATCTGTTATATATATTTTGAGTGTCACTCACACTTCAAAGTTCATAATAGCGAATGGTAATTTGATTTCAACACAACTCATTCGTTTTTTCTATTGACACCAGTGAATTTGTCAGCATATTGCCATTTTACATTTCAACTACTCACGAGTAGTAACGTGCGATATGAACATTATTCATTGACGTGTCATCCTGCCGACTTCGTTTTCACTGTCTCGAATAAATTTTATGCAAAAACCATCCCACAAATAATATGCGTCGTGCAGATACCACTGGAGGGAGAGGGACACGCAGTTAATCCAGACAATCGCAAAATTAACCGATTACCGTCCATCAAAAACACGAGTAGTAACGTAGCTTAATGTGGCTCATTTCTTCTGACTCAAGTGCCCTAAAGACTACGGAACGCAGTGCCAACGAAATTATCTATTCATTTGATACTTTAGTGTATTTAATTAGCTAAAATCTTGGTTTAATCTATCAAAGCATGTTTAAAAGGAAATTGCCTGGAGGAGGTGTCAAAGGCTTCTTTTGATATTGTAATCATACCATTGATCGCAACCAGTTTCACTTACCGGATCAGTGTAATGTTCGACCATGTATGTATTTCAGTCAATGGCACATCCATTCAGATAAATTTATCGGATTGTCTTTTACGTTTAATCATTTGTTTTGATTCGGTTTCCGGGATACTAATTTCATTGTCCCTTTTGAAGCATCATCCTCTGTCTAATTAAATCACGATGGCCGATCTACTCCACTGCGAAGTGGTTTCTAACCAACACCAAGGAGGCAGTTTGTTTTTCCTTTTGACGAAGTTCTCGAATCGTAACACTACACTTGTTCTTTTTTATTCCGTCTCCTCTTAGGACATATTATCTCGTGCACCACAACAAGAGGTCGAACTGCGCTACGCCATGCTCGAAGCTCAGTTACGTGATCAACTCGAATTGATGAACAACGCTTTAATGGAAGAAGAATCTCGTATTGCAGCCGGAGAGGAGTTGTCGTCTATTCTGGCCGATCATGAGGTAGAAACTCACTGTCTCCCTCTTTTTATCATGTATCATTGTGGTCTTTCTAAGGGTGGTGAGTGAGTGGGGTCAACTGAAGTTCCGTGGCTTATAAGATTCTTTTGCACTAATTATGTCTGTCAAGCGCGCACGCATTATGATTACCCTATTGTATTGTTGGTTAAGGACACACGCACACACAAGGCCATGCGCACGTGACTGCAAACACAGCAGTGTGCCCGAATCATATGGCCATCTTTTTAAATTTATTTCAACACGTAATCAATTACAGAGAACTGGCCAACGGGCCACAACATATGAACAAAAAGAAATCTGAAGAATGTGTTCATGGGTTGTGTGGGCATGTTACTTCTCGGGTGCCCTGGTCAAGGGAGGAGGATAGCCCCGGAGTCCCCACCCGAAGCCTTTGGCTAGAAAGCCAGATTTGCAAGACAACAGGACGAAGCTCAGAGTCCGCAGTCCATTGGGGGCCGGTGTCCAGTTCATCGGGTCATACACCCTTTGGACGGGGTCAAACGTCCAATGTGCTCAATACACCTCGATGCCCAATCGAACCGGTGACCACTGCCACAACCGAAAAGGTGTGGATGTGGTTCGTACGCCTCCTCATGGTTGTTTTGGAATCAGGGTTTTTGGTCAACTCCCCTAGGTGAACTACCAGTGATCCACCAACCAGGTCATAGCTCCGGATATCGGCTTTTCGTCCTCTCACTTTGGTGGGAAAACAGCTCCGCCACGAGAAGGCATTGAGTAGGGCTTCCTCAGCCGGGGGTATTTAAGACCCTTGGTCATATAGGAGTAGTTCGCGAGGTGTAAGGGAATGGTGACCAGTCACAATCTCAGACACCCACCCCGACACCGGCTTTCGGATTTATCGTCTACCCAGGGTTCACTTCAATTATATCGCCTTTTTAATTTCAAAGGGTCATGTGCTGTAGCTGCTCATCCAAAATAGCCGTCTCTACTTCTTTCTCGGTATAGCAAAGTTCATGGAACAACGATTGCGATTTAGTTAACCTGATCGTCATACGAATGTGTGTTTGTCGTTTACAGTATCCACCAGATTATTTGCATGTTCGACCGATTTATTGCATATCGTACCACGCTCCACCCTCTTCCACTCCTCGTTCACGAACAGCGCATTTTCGGCAAGTCGGGTCTCAGCAGTGTGTGCGAACAATTATTGAACGAGATGCGGGAACTGAGCGAACAAATGTCCCTGTTGGACACCGAATCACCTAATCGGCTCAGTTTACGTACGGATCGATTGCAAAAAGATTTCAATCAACTCACCGACCACGTGGGTCAGTTGGCAGTAAAACTGCGCAGTCTACCAACCCAATGGGCCGATTTTGATGAGAAGTACGTTCCAGTTCCAGTACCGTGTATGTGATACAAGAGATACGAGGAGAAAATAGACTGCCATAAATTATCGGTTGATTTGTATAACAAATGTCTTTCGCATGTGAACTCTGCTGTGAGAAGCACTTAATAGAACATCGGACTGTGTCCAGTCAAGTGTCTTTTTCATTGAATTTTATCGTGTACGAGCACCATTAGCCTGGACACCTGTTAAGCGGGATGCGAGTTTTCATTCCGTATATTTAATCTTAACTTAAATCTTCATTGGATCACACGGAGGCACAATACTGAATCTGCCCTTAACGAGGTTGAAACAGCTAGCTGTAGGTCCTCTTGTTGAAAACACATTCTTGAATTCATCATCACCCTCGTTGAACAACTCAGTAAATGTAGATAGGATGAATCGATTTAAGTGTGGACCAGCCATTTCGAAGGACCCGATAGTTTATCTCAAATGCGTAAAGATATTGTCATTGAAGATTGGAATAATAAAGAATTCAACCGAGTTTTGTCTGGCGGATTTGACGATCATGGCTTGTAATAGATTTATCAAACCACTGGGCGAATGCATCACGTCTGTGGGGAGAAGTATAACCGGTAATGCTGTTTAACTGTTCAATCCATGACACAAACTTTTGCTGATATATGTCAATTACTCCATCGTAACTTCAGCTATTACTAAATTCCTTCGGATTATATTATAGGCTCTATCAATTGGTGGATTGGACCAAAGAAGTGGAACAATTGGTTCGTCATTTGCAGACCAATCCAGAGGATGCCAAAGCCTCGGATGAGGTGTCGGCGATGGAACTGGCCGCACGCTACAGAGCCATGCTTTCCCGATTCGAAGAACTGACCGGAGTGACGAATGAGCAAGGTGCTTTGGCCGAGTTATTGAATGCCAAATTAGCTGATCTGTCATTACAAGGTGGTCTGAGTGCAACGGAACTGGCTACCAAACGAGCTGCACTGGCTGCCGCGATTGGTTCTCTGCGAGATCTTCGTTCTGAAGTGGATGCAGTACTGGATCGGGGTGAGTATGCGTGTGATGGATTGATGTAAAAATAAATCGATCATTGCGTGAGAGTCACATTTTGTTATGACATATCGCATACAATCGAGTGGAAGCGAAAAATAGAATTCGGCCAAACTATAGTACACGCATGAAGACCGAAGTAACCGTGGCATTATGGCCTGGGTGAATGAACAGCTTTACATTCACCTCGCAGAATATTCTTCGTAGGCAATTTCAGTTTTTCTGGTGGTGGTCGTGGTGACTTCAAAGCACACTTGAATTGATTCACTCAACGCAACAAGAATGCAGCCGTATTATATAGGAGCATCTAGAGCATGTGTTTACCATTCACACCAGTACTGGTGTACAAAAAAAAACGTGAGATAGCGCTAACGAATCTGAACGAGGACGGAGGACAGATATTTGGTGCTCTTTGCAAGTTATACTTGTTATTATTAACGAAGTGAGACAAACCATCCTCGATGGTGATTCCTTTTGAACAGGTATTGTCTGTCTGACGAGCTCCGAGTTTCTTTGCCATCTTCAGCATGACATATACTG